ATTTTTTTTTCCTCCCAAGTTCTCTTGCCTCGCTATCCCCCCTTGAATCCGAAGGCGCCTCGCGATTGGGTGCTGGGGCCGGGTACGTCAGTGTGTCTGTGACGTGCAGTCTTCCTGTTTCCTTCAGCTGTGTCTTAAAGTAAATCTTGTTGTGGAGCGGAGCCCTCAGCTGAGAGCGCTGGGAAAGCGTCCACCTCCGCAGCCGGGAAAGCCGCCCGGCGCACTCCAGCCCTCTCCGCGCCCGCTGCGCCTAGGGCCGCCGCGCCGCGCCCCGCGCTCCTGCCCTCGCCTCCGCTCGGGTCCTTTCTCTCCTCTCCCCTCTCCCGGGCTCCTGGCTCTGCCCTGCTCTCCTCTCCCCTCCCCGCCCTCCTCTCTCCCCTCTCCTCTGCCCACTCGCCCCGCTCTCTCGCTCTCTTGCTCTCGCACAGACTCACCGGCCCCTGGTCCAATTATCACCGGCATCACCCGCAAGACATCGCCGCGTGCGCGCGCCTGGGTTCCTTCTCTCTGCCCGCAAAAGAGAGAGAAAGAGAGAGAGCGCGCGCGGCTGCGTCCCGCTGCTGCCCGCACCGCGTAAGTATCTTCACCCGGTCGCTGTCCCCTCCCCTTTTCCAGAACCGCTCGCACTGGCTTGTGCTTGAATGGGAAGGAGAGACGCGGGCCTCCCGTTACTCATACCCGTGTAAACATTCTTTTTCCGGGGGGAGGGGGGTGTTATGTACATGAATCGTAACCAGATAGCCTCTAAAAGCAGTTTTCTAGCGGGAGCCTCGGTGGAACCGCGCGCTCCGGAGAGTAAGTGGCCGCTGCCTCCGCCCGTGCGGCTGCGGGTGGCTGGTGCTGGTGACGCCGGGGGCGGCTGGCGCGGCCGGAGTGGCCGCTGATCTTGTCACCTTTTGTGTACCGGGTCTGGGGTGCGAGGAGGCGCTGCCTCCCTCTCCTTTCTTTTCTTTTTTTCCCCCTTGCACTATCTTTACAGGAGAGGGGACAGCGAAGGGCACTGGGTCCCTCTTTTTTTGTTGTTTTTCTGCTGGATTCCCGGCTTTCCTGCTCGCCTCATCCTCCCCACCTCCCCGGGTAGGAACTCCGGGGCCGGTCCCCAAGTCCTTTCCTTTGTCTTGTTTATTCCCGGCTCTTCCAATTTGCTTCTTATTTGCATACCTTTCACTTCTTTTTAACCCGGGCTGTGGGGAGGAGGACTCTGGGAGTAGGAGGCGCCCTGTGACTCTCCTCTCCCTGCGGGATCCGAGCGGAGAGCTGGAGCCCCGGCTTCGGAGCGGAGGTGGGACCGGTGGAGGGACCCGTGGAGGGACCCAGGGAGGCATGGGTCCCGGGGAGCGTGCGTGGCCCCTCTCCTCCCAGGCGCGCCGGGGCGGGGGGGGGCTGGGGCGCACCGAGTAGGGTAAGGCGGCCCGGGAGCCTCGGGTCGTCGGAAGGGGGATCGGGTCGCCGCACTGCGAAGGGCAGGGCCGGGTCGGGGTGTGCTTTGGCCTTGGATAGGGGAGAAGGAGCTCCCAGCCATTACTGGCAGGCTTCGGTGGTGGGCAGCTGCGCTCTGGCCTGGTCTGGGTGGTGCTACTGTTTTGCCCCAGTTCCTAGGACTCGGGAGGGAGGAGAGGAGCAGAGCTGAGAGGAGAGGTCAGAGTTGCTGGGAAGAACCGTGAGGAGGGTGGGAAGAAGGGGGGTGCTGCCGGTCTTGCCTGAACAGACAAGGAGAGGGAGTGGGGGGGGTAGTGAACATCACCCGAAGTCCAGCTGAGCAAGTTGTCTCTGCCTCTGCGGTGCCTGCCAGCCAGTCCTGCTCAAACTGGACGTGGGTACTGGCAGCCAGGGGACCAGCGAGCCATACTCAGGGTCCCCCCTACCCAGCCTCTTGGGAAGTGGAGTCCTC